GTTCTGAGGAAGGGTCACTGGACCTGAAACGTTAACTGTTTTCTCCTTCACAGATGCTGCCAGACCTGCTGCGCTTTTCCAGCAACTTTTGTTTTTGCCCCTTGAATCTCATTCTTCAAAGCCTCTCACTGGGCTTCAAGTAGCTGTGGCCTGTTCACTTTTGCTTGGGAAAGGCAATTTTAAAACTGTCAATCCTGCTCTACCTTTGTCCCTTTACACCCCAATGCTCAATGCAACTGTAAAATGATCACTACCTCCAAAATGGTTACCGACTGCCACCTCACCCACCTTCCCAGCTTCATTTTCTAAAATCTGGAAATGCGCTCTATCTCATTAAGTCATGGCTTGAAAAGAAATCTTCAAAATGCAGTTTAAGAATCTGTGCTTTTCACACCGTTTGTATCCTAGTTGATACTGGAGCCCCCACTTATCATTGTCCCATTGTTTTTCCACTCAGACAGTTGCCCACATACTTGCTTCTCCAACTCTCCCCCACTATTTGGGGTCCGTAATACACAACCAGCAGTGGTTGGCCCTTGTGTGTTTCAGAGCTCAACTCATACAAACTCATTTTCAGCTTCATTTAGTGTAACATCCGACCTGTGATTGATTCTTTGATCAAAAATGTTATGCCCTCACTTTATTTATCCCCTTCTATATTCTGCCTAATAATGCTGTATCTAGGGATGTTCAGCTGCTGTCCTTGTCCCTCTTTATAGCAAATTTCTAATATAGCAAAGTTTTTATACTGTCATGTGCCTATCTGTGCCCTCAACATGGGAACACCACTACCCACAAATTCCCCTCCAATCCACCCACCATCCTGACTTGGAAATATATCGCCATTCCTTCACTGTCACTGGGTCAAAACCCTGGAATTCCCTCCCTGAGGGCATTGTGGGTCAACCCACAGCGCATGGACTACAGCGGTTTAAGAAGGCAGCTCGCCCCACCTTCTCAAGGGGCAATTAGGGACAGGTAATAAATGCTGACCCAGCCAGTGATGCCCATGTCCCACAAATGAATTTTAAAAAACTAAGCAATTTCAATCACTACACTTCTTGCATTTACATATATACCCGTTAGTGCTGCCTGGGACTCAGTTAGCTCAGTAGATTGGACAGCTGGTTTCCAATGCAGAATGATGCCCATCAACATTCGTTCAATTCCCACACCAGCTGAGAATAGCATGCAGATCCAACATTTGTGAACTCAGCCTTTGCCCGAGATCTGGTGACCCTCAGGTTAAACTCACTGCCAGTCATCTCTTTCTAATGAGAGAGCAGCCTCTGGAAGAATGCTTGCACTAATGTAAAGTCAGCAAAGTCCTGTGCTGTACAGTTTTTAACTTCTGCTTTTATTGTCTGTCAGAGGCACTTGCTCAATTTCTACCTCTGGTTCCCATTCCTTTGTCTAGTTTCAACCCTCCCCATCAACAATAGGGAATTTCCCTGCAAAAAGAAATTTATCCTGCTTCAGTTTAGGTGTCTGGCTTGTACAGGTCCTAACTTCCCCAGAACCAATCCCAATACCCCTGATCTCCTGCCCTCCCTCCTGCACCAGTTTCTCAGCCATATGTTAAATTTTTCAGTTTTTCTGTTCCTATGTTCACAAGCATGAAGGACAGGGCATGATCCTGCCTTCACTCTCCTGCCTGATGTTAGATGTCAGGACATCATCCCTATTCCTATAGAAGTCATTGTTACCACCATGGACCTCAACACCATCCTGGAGTCACATTGATAGTTGCAGAAACACTTGCCTGATTCCCTGACGATGGTGTCCCCCATCACTGCTGTTCTTCCATTCACCCTCACGTTCCTTGTACATTGATGCTTCATCTTGGCTCAGGCTACACTCTCAAAACAAGCGATCACTCTCACCAGGAGTCACATTGGAATACCGATCAGCAAGGAAGATAGACTTGGGACACTCCTGCATTGACTGCCTTGTTTGCTTAGACTGCCTGGCACTCATCCATTCCCCCTCTGCCTTCACGCCGTTAATCTGTGCTGGGACCACCTCCCTACACATACAATCCTGTGCCTCACAGAGCAGCCACTGCTCAGATTCTGAAACCCGGAGCTAGGCTTGCGCATTCGGGCAAACTTTCTGCAGATGTGTTTGTCTGGGACACAGCGTGTCCATGACTTCAGACACACTGCAGAATTAACTTCACTTGGCTGAGCTGACCTGCCATTCCATAACTTTCAAAACTATTGATTGCAATCAGAAAGACTCACGTTAGGGTCACCAGTGTTCACCAAGCAGTGCCTTTCCTGTGCTGAAGTCAAAGCTAAGTACAGGAAGCTGACAACAGTCAGAAAAGAAAAGAGGCATCTCCCCCTTCCTCAAACTCCCTCTAACTCACCAAACCTCCATGTTACACTTTAGTAAAACCAAAGCTAATGGAGACCAGGCAGCACTGAGAGACGGCTCTACCTATGATTCCTGTAAAAACAAAACTGACTCCAGCTTAAACATAATGGATTAAATCAGCCACAAATAACTCACTACGACATTTCTCAGGGCTTGTATACCCCAATTTAAAGCTGCAAATAACATAATTAAACATAGCAATTAATGTCTTTCAATTAACAAGCAAAATTAAAGAAAAATATTAGACTTTAGATAAAAATGACACCCAAGATTCTCTCACTCACCAACCCCAGTGTAGACAAGGCAACACCAATTTAACGTTATTAATAAATTTGAGGGAAAAGTGAAAAGAAAAGTCTGATCAATAATTTTTGTTTGAGTGTTCCAGCTCTGCCAGCCCTTACGAAGCC